CTCTCGTAGTCTGCTGATGCAGTGAAGTCAGATGATGAGAGGGTGAGAGGGAGATGGTGGACTGAGAAGAGGAAGAAGAAGAACTCTCTCTCTCTCTCTGTTACGAGGCAGGAACTAACCCGTGATGTTGGCGCTGTGCTGCAGGTACCTCGAAGACGAAGCTGGAGCAATGGCGCTGCAGGTAAGTACCTCTGGCCTCCGCCCAATCTCTCTCTCTCTCTAGTGCTATCCTAGCTATGGCGCCCAGCGCTGGAGACTACAGCTACGTACTGTGCCCAGCACTGAAGACTAAAGGCTAACGCTACTACTACTCCTGCAGCGCTCCCTCCAGAGTGCTGCGGCCGAATCCTGAAGACTACTGCCTCCTGCCTGCCCGTGAAGTGCATGGGAAGTCCCTATGTACTACCTCGGCCTGCCTCCTGACTGCCTGAAGGGCGAGCCAGGCCGAGGAGGTTGCTCTTGCCAATGCCGAAGTGTGCCAGGGGCTGGAGCTGCAGCCTCTGCTGAGGCTGGCGTGGGAACAGGCTAAGAATAGCCTGTTCCCGAAACCCTGGGTCGGTGCCTGAGTTTTAGGGCCGGTCGTTCTGATGAACGATCGAAAATGGCCCTTCGTTTCAGGCTAAAAAGGCTATTGCCATTTTTAGTCTCAAACGACACAGGGACTGTAGGCCCCTGGTTTCAGGCTTTAAGGCTGAACAGTCATGGGGCCTGTAGGCCCTGGTTTTCAGGCTTTTAGCCTGCCTGGAAAATGGCCCTCGTGTGCAGGCGCAGCATGTAACACCACCCGCTCCTTACGAAGTCAAGCCGGGGCGAGGGCGAAGCCGACGATCTGAAGGTGGAACCTGGACGTGGGCGTGGCGTGGAGCCGAAGAAACCGGCTTGCCTTGCATCTTGCGTTCGTAGCGTGTGAGAACGTCTGGAGCTGTTGCTTGAAGTTCCGCACGGGTCAACCAACGGTCAGCTCGGTGTGTGCAGTATGCAAAATGCACCAAATACTCGGTTGGCCTGTTGCCGTAGCGTCGCTGGGAGATTATGTCGCCAACCTCTTGAAAACCGTCCATGGAGGATGGGTCTTGCGAACATTTCCCGGGAAAATCGTCATGTTCCGCTGGCGTGTAAAGAGCCAACTTGGAGCAATGAAAGACTGGGTAGACGGGCAAGCGGCTGGGCACCTGAATCGTGAAGGAAGGTCCCTCGGGTGCGTCCCCAGCGGGTGCTACAATCGGCCAAGGCCCCATCCATTTTGGGAGGAGCTTGCAAGAGATGTCTTGTTCAAATGCTGAATTCCGCTGCGGAAACCCAAACGAGGTCGCCGGCGCGGAATGCGCAAGGAAGACACCGGCGATTGGCCTGCTGGCTCATGCGCTGCTGCATCTTAGCCATTTGGTCGCATGCCTTGACAAGAAGCTCTTGCATCCGATGCAAGAAAAGAAAATGGTCGTCGCTCTCGGCCGTTCGTGGAGTAGTACTGTCCAACGGTGAAGTGACCGACGAGCCGTGCTCGAACTCAAAGGGCGACATCCCGATAGCCGGGTGGATAGAGGAGTTGTAGGCCAACTCGACATCCGGCAGCCGCTCAACCCAGTCCTTCTGGTCGGGGCGGATGAGAGTGCGAAGGAGAACCTGTGCGGTCTGATGCGCCCTCTCTGTCTGACCATCGGTCTGAGGGTGGCGAGTTGAACTGGGCTTGAGAGATGAGCCCCATCGCTTGATGAGCGCCAACCAAAAATCGGACATGAATCGAGTGTCGCGGTCGCAAACGATCTCCTTGAGGTAACCCTTGGTTCGAATCCAACCGGCGTAAAGAACCTCGGCCAACTCCGGTGACTTGGCATGATAGCGACAAGGCAAAAACATGGCGATCTTGGTGAGTCCGTCGACCACCGTGAGAATCCCATCCACTCCAGTCTTGTGCTTGGGGAACGGGCCGGTAATGTCCATGGCAATCGCTTCCCTTCGCCTCAACGGGACCGGTAATGGTCGTAACTCGCCGTACGGACGATGGTTGCGGGATTTGCAGCGTCGACAAACCTCGCATGACTCGCAATAGCATGTGACGTCGCCGAGAAGGCCGGGCCACCAAAGTCGGTCAATCGTGCGATTGACTCCAAAGTGTCCGGTGGCGGGAGCATCGTGGAACTCGCCAAGAAGTCGTGTACGCAAGTGAGGATCACTCGGTACGCAAAGAAGGTCCTTCCCCCGTGTGTGGACAAGCAAGTACCCCTCTTGAATCCGGTACTGAGAAGGCGGAAGATTAGGAGAGGAGCAATTCGCATACTTGTCGTGAAACTCGGCGTCGGTTCGGTAGCCGCGAATGAAGTTGTTCCGCAGGTCATCGTCGATCTCGAAGGTTGAGTAGACCGCGGTACAATGATCCGGACACCGTGAAAAGAGCATCCGCAAAACGGTTCGACTTCCCGGGAATGTGATCGGGAAAGAAGTCGAACTGGTCGATGAAAGCCATCCATCGAGCGCCGTTGCTGTTGACGGTGTCTTGGATCTTATAAAAGACCAACGGATTGTTGTCCGTTACCCATTGAAATTGGCTTCGACCATGGAGGAAGTGTCGCCACCGCTTGAGCGCGTGGACGAAGGCGAGGAGCTCCTTGCGTGCATCGTCAATGGAACACACGACGGGCACTTTCTTGCTGAAATACTCGACCAGGTGCCAGTCCACACCGTCATATTGCTCGAGGACTGCACCAATGCCATAGCCGGACGCATCCGTTGTGACGCGCGTAGGCAAAAGCGGGTCGTATATACGCAAGACCTCCGCAGTTAATAGCGCAGCTTTGAGAGCCAAAAATGATTATCGCGCCTCCTCTCCGAAGTCAAACGGCCGATCCTCTTATTGAAGCTTTGGTCAAGTGGGCCGCGATCTTCGAGTAGCCTTTGATAAAACGTTGATAGTAGCCGGCAAGGCCAAGGAATGAACGGACATCCATGACGTTTCGAGGCTCCGACCACTCTTGGATGGCTTGAATCTTGTCCGATAGCGTACTGATGCCCTCCGGTGTGACAAAATGGCCCAAGTATTCCAGCTCTTGCCGGACAAATTCGCACTTGTCGCGGCTGGCCTTGTACTTGGCGCGGCGGAGCGTCTCCAACACTCGTCGAGGATGTCCAAGATGATCCTCCAATGCCCGGCTATAGACGAGAATATCGTCTAAGTAGACCAGCACGAACCGGTCCAACATTGCATGGAACTCATTGGTCATTGCCGCTTGAAAGGTCGTCGGGGCGTTGGTGAGGCCAAAAGGCATAACCACCCACTCAAAATGCCCGTACCGTGTCTTGAACGCGGATTTGTAGCGATCGTTCAGCCAGATCGAGATTTAATGATATCCCGATTTCAAATCCAACTTAGAAAAATACTTTGCACCGCCCAATCGCTCAAGAAGATCGTCGATGCAAAGGGAAAGGCCCCGCATTCTTGACGGTTTGTGTGTTGAGCTTGCGGTAGTCGATACACAATCGTAGATCCTTGTTCTTCTTCCGGACGAAGAGAACTGATGCTCCATATGGGGAGCTACTAGGGCGGATCCAGCCCTTGTCCAACAGGTCGTCGAGTTGTGCGCGGAGGACCTCGAGCTCCTCCTCGCTCATCCGATAGATGCAACCTTTAGGCGGCACGACACCGGCCTCAAGAATGATCTCATGAGAGATCGGCCGATCTGGCACCACACCGGTAGGTGACTCGAAGATGTTGGTGAACTCGTCCAGCAACCGCACCACCCGGGGGTCCGAAGACAAGTCCGTGGGTGAAGAGTCGGCTACCACGACGGTCCGTAGGAAACATAGGCCGATTTCCTCGGGCTGCTCGTAAGCGCAAGTCGCCCGGAATGATTTGGCCGTCACCACTTGGCACCGAATCGAAGGGTGCCGTAAAGGAATAGTACACGCCACTTCCGCGTCGAAGGCGTCACGAACGCTAAGAGTCCGCCGRTGGAAGTTGACCGTGTGATCCGCACTTGCAAGCCAAGGCATTCCCAGAACAATGTCAAAGTCTGTGTCGAGAATATCGAACGTGACCGGTTCGCATGCATGAGGTGCGAAGTAGACCGGTACGGCCTCGATGTAACGGTCGAGAAGTTGCTGCGTTTTCCCATCCACCAACTTGATTGTCGTCCGGTTTGCCTTCCTTCGAACTTGTGCGCCAAGGCCAGCCCTTTGCATAACGGATTGGCTCATGAAATTGCGAGACGCGCCGCTATCCAGCAAAGTGCTGCAGGACGCTTGCCCAACTTGAATGCGGACATACATGAGCGGTGCATTGTTGTCATCGTACCGCTGCGTGCGAAACTCGCGGGCCACCTTGGTAGTATACGCAAGGATGTCCCCCACCGCGACTTCGTCATCCGTCGGCGAAGTTGGTGGTGCATAGAAGGATAAGTAAGTGTGGAGATGAGCGCATAGTGCTGCGCATTGCGGGCCCGGCAAGCGGCCTGTGGTCGGGAGAGGAAGCCATGCAAAGTCCTCGGACGTGAGCGGGTGCAATACCTCTATGTTGAACTCGCGCGCCGAATCCCGTGAAGAACCACTGGAAGACGATAAGTCGCCGCTGCCGAACGGAGAAGATGCCGCACACACGTCTTGTCCTTGAGCTTGAGTACCCAGCGTAGGAACGAGACGGGCAGCATAGTCCTCAAAAGAAAGTAGAAGAGGAGGACTATCGACTTCCACATGCGCCTAGGAATGAAGGCCAGCCACTCGCGAAGAGATCGGTTCCGAACGCGTCGAGAGTGTCGTCGAGTCACTCTCGGTGGTGCTCAGTTTCCCTGTTTGCCCTTGCCTTTCAATGGGCAGGCCAGTGTCTGATGAAGATCATTGCTGCACCATAGGCAATAGTGGAATCTCGTGCGCGCCTTGAATGCTTGCTCGGAGATGCCATATTGGGACCAAGGAGCTGGAGCTGTTGTGCCGGACCCGGGGCTAGATGCGGTGTGTGTCTTCGTCTTGCCGCATCCTCGGTCTCTGCCGGGGCGGCCACATTCCCACGCGGCTGCGAGTCTGTCTCCTTCTCTAGCAGACACAGCCTCGCTGGTTTGGTCAAACGACGTTACTTCCGCAACCACGACCACTCTTGGCCGATGCTGGCCTCTGCTCGAGCCTGCCGCAGACGAACGCAGGTTCTTAGCCTCCTTGTTCATAATGATGATCTGCGCGGCCTTGTCAAAGAGTTCTGCCGTCGCCGTCAAGATGTCCTCGACGTGAGTCAGGGCATTACTTAATGTCGGACAGGACCTTGAGATGAAATAGTGGCAGATGGCTTTGAAGCCCATCTGGATGTCTGGGACTGACGTCAAGCGTTGGTACTCGGCGATCCAGTCGGTACTCAGCAGCGTGCCTTGCTCGAAGACCATGAGCTTGTCCATAGCCTTGATCTCGGGCGGCTCGACTTGGAACCGCTTGTGCCACGCCGCCTTCAGATCATCCCAACTGATCTTGGTGTGCAAGTCGGCAGCTACCACTCCGTACTTGGACAAGAGATTGTCCAACCAAGCCTGGCACGCGCCACCTGAGCGAGAGTATAAGTATGTGTGGTGCTTGTGTTCCTTGACGTTGTGTAGCTGTAGTGTGAGCTCGAACTTGCGGAACCATGGAACCGGATCTATCTTCATCAAGTCGCAAAAGATCTCCTGCCCGTCAAACTTTGGAGCTGTCTCACACGGTTCCAAACTGGATGTGTTGGCGGTAGTACAGATCCGCTGTTCCAGCTGTTGCGTTGCGGTCTGTTGTAACTGCACGCCGTCCTTTAGGGAGTCGACGTGCATCTCCAATGCTGCGAGGTGATCGGAGGTGTTGGAAGAGCTTGCATCGAGGGCGGCGACAGGTCGCTGCTCCAACTGCCGGAGGCGGTCTTGGACTTGAGCCAGCGAGTCGTCAAGGCTGTGGATATCCTCCTGCTGCGTAATGCATGTCGCCAGGAGGTCCGTGAGATGGGAGAGGAGGAGAGCGATCTTGTTTTCGATATCCTCCAACTTGCCATTCTCGGCCTCGGTCCGCCATTCCGCTGCCATTGTGAGCAAGGTCTGCTCTCCACTAAATATTTTCTCACGACCGTGAGTTCTTTCTTCATCGGCAGCCCTTGCCGCTGCCTCGTCATGCTGGCGCTGTTGTTCAATTGCCAGTAGACGTGCCTGCTCAGCGTCCTCTCGCTTCTTCTTCGTTGCTGCTGCTGCGTCATCTGCCCGTTTCTTTGTTTCGGTACTCCAGGCCAGCATCCGGGCGTGATAGGCCTCGTCTGCTTCTCCGGACCTCTGGTCCATGACGGCTGTTTGTGAACGCAATAGCATAGACCAGGCCGGGTCCTGCTGAGGTGGTATTCCCTGCTTTTGACGTGGCACTGCTGACGTGGCCTGCTGACGTGGCCTGCCAGGGCCTGCTGAGGTGGTATTCCCTGCTTCTGACGTGGCACTGCTGACGTGGCCTGCTGGCGTGGCCTGCTGACGTAGTCTGCTGACGTGGCCTGCTGACATGGCCTGCTGACGTGGTCTGCCGACGTGGCCTGCTGACGTGGCAACTCACCAATGCCGCCACAGGGGGAGAGGTGGGAGACAGGTAGAGAAGGTTAGGCGAGAGGTGGCAACAACATAGGTGGGGAGGGTGGGTGGAAAGAATTGCCTAGATAAGGAGCCACTAATCAAAAAAGAAAAGTTTGAACTTTGCAAAAAAAAATTCGAGAAAAATAAAAATCCCGACTTTTGCAAGTTCAGTAGGTCTCCCAACCTCCCTTGAAGTGCGAAATGATCAATGAGAGAAAAAAAAAAATTCGACTTCAGACTGCAAATGATTTATAGAACTGACTGACGAAATCCTAGAACTGCGAACGAAAAATTTTCCGAAAAGAAATAAAATATTCGGACTTACTCAGATGAGGAGTATTCGCAAATTGGAAAATAATACCTGCAGGAGGGATTTTCCGTACTGTTTTTGGAAAAACGAATTTCGAAAAAAAGATATTCCGAATTTTTTTTAAGTAACGGAAAACGCAACAGGAAATCGAAATTTTCGAAAAGAAGGATATTCCGGATTTTCAACAACGAAATTTCAAAATTTCAGAAGGAAAACGAAAATGGAAATTTCAGATGTTGCGCTATCACAATTTTCCACAACAGAAGTAGCGAGAAAACAAAATCCAAGAAAAAAAAAAAATTTTGATTTTCGGTAGTAAGGTCAAAATCGTGATTTTGGGGGCTAACTAGTGTGCTCTAATCAATCAAGAAAGACTAATCAGCTACCTAGTCCCCGCACACGTGTCAGATCAGGTTGTCCTGATTCACGTGCGGTGCACCGATACCAACTGTTACATGCCCAGTCGGGCGATGAATACAATAACCGAGGATCCGCAATGTGATGAAAAGGACTGAATGGACAATGCAGTGCCAGTAGAATCTCA